AACAATGGTCCAAACTTAAAAGTCTTTATTTCAAGTATAATATAGTCATCAATTTGTAACTTATTTTTTTCCTTTTTCTCATAACTTAGATATTTATTTTGTCTTCTCCTTCCTCATTCAACTTCTCAACACACTAGTCCATTTTTAGAGTTATCTTTTTGCTTCTTTCTTTGTCTTTCTTTTCCATCTTCTTATCTCCATTTTGAGTACATTTTGTGTGACTGTGATTTCTTATGATTTTGTAATCTAACTTTATATTTCTTTTCCATGTAACAACTATGAATTTTGTTATCTTTTATTTTTGCTTCTTTAGTTTGTAAATGTTTCAACTACGAATCTACTTACACCATCTATTGTCACCTTCATTCTATTTTTATACACTATTTTAAAAATATTTTTTATCGTTTTAAGCTTCATCTTCCTTAAGATAAATTGGTTTACAAAAAAATTCAAATCCGATTATACCCACCCGCTTAAATCCGAATCCGTTTCAACCCGAACCGCCTCAAATCGAAAGCTCAGTCGGTCGGATATGGGTCACATTTTTTCAAAGTCGATTTACTATGGGTTGGACATTTTTCACCCGAACCCGACCAAACCCACCCGTTGCTCACCCCTAAGCATTTTGAATAATTACCGCTAAATGTTTTAGCTACACTGCATACAATGACTAATGTGAAAATGCCGGTAAAAGATTTTGTAACAATTTTTATTGTCACTAAAAATCATATTATATGCCACTAAAACTCTATTTTGTTGTAGTGAACTTTCTTAATTTTTATGAATTAAGGTTGTATTTATTTTTTTAATAAAGAAACTAAATTAGAGCAAATCACGACTCCGAAGTTGTATTTATTTAAAAATATCACGAAGGATTTTCGAAAAGTAAACGTGAGAATATCAAAAATTTATGTTTAATGCAAGTTTTGAATCAATATTTACAGGAATTATTGATTTATAGGACATTGTTTCTTGCTTCTCATTTTGTTAGAGTGTTTTTGTTTTACAAGTTAAAACCTTATTTTCAAAAATATAAACTTGAAAATGTTGTATTCTAATGTTTATTTGGATAATGTTCTTGAATATATCATATATGTTTGGATTAATTTCTTTTATTTACATCGTGCATAAAATATACGTCAAACAACCTTTCGACTACATAACATACCAAACACATAATTGGAGATGTTATTTTTTATAATACAATATTGTACTTTAAAAATAAACACTTCACAATAGATATAATAATAACAATTTCTTGACAAATTAATATGCGTATATAATGCTAATTTTTTATTTTTTTAATCGATAATTGAGATTCCGCACTTTATTCTTCAAATCACTTTTTTTTTAATGACAATTACAAATCCTTCTAAATAACTATATCTTGAGATTGATTTTAAAATGTTTTCATCAATTACAATCAATTTTTATTGAAGAATTTGATCGAGTATGTTTAAAAGAAAATAAAAATCTGATATCTTGTTTAAGGATATTAAATATAAAATAAGAATTACCTGAAGACTCGTACTAACAACTTAATTTTTAATAAATTATTAAAAATGAAAGAGTTATTAAGAAAAGTATGTTAAAGAATCTTTTACTTGCACTCTTATTATATTGGTTTCTTTTTTCCTTTTAACTAGGGTTAAAAATGACTTGAACTTAATTTAGCTTAACTTGACTCAATAATATTTAATTTTGTTCATATTCAACATGATTTTTTTTTTTTAACTTGAGCTCGACTTGATTCAAGCTTGATAGTAGTTCGATTCAACTTATTAGCTCGAATCAAAAAAATTAAGAGTCAATTTTTTTTTGAATCTTATACATTTCAAAATTTTAATTTAATAATAAATTTTAGATAAAATGATTATTTAGTTTTTTTTAAAAGACAAAACACAATTTATTTTATTAACTTTGCAAGGTTACTATAAGACTATGAGTTTTATGATTGTTTAATTATTTTTATTAATTAAATAATTAAGTGATAAGTTGTTTAGTTGTTGCAAAACTCTAAGGATTAAATCCTTTTATGAGTATAATTATTTAGTAGTTGTTTTGAGTTAAATGCATTATTGTTTATAGAGGTATATAAGATTTTTTTTAAGAGTTGAACTTCATAAGATTACTTTCTTAATACACTTAAAGAAATGTTAGAAATATAAGCTCTATTTCCAAAGGAGAATCATTATTCCTTCTGACTTCACAAATTACTCATATCCTTCCTTGGAGTGTAGATTGTGTTGCTAGTTTGTGATTCAAAGCTTTAGAATAAAGAATCAGGTGTTAGTGGTGTCATGGTGTGGCGAGAGCTTGAAGTAGCATTTTTTTTCATTCATCTCCTTTCTTCCTCTCTTTTTGTTATTTGAGATAAGGGAAGTTTATTGATTGATGCTTGTTGAATTGTAATGACAAATTTATTTTCGAATTAATTATTTGGTGATTGTTTTTAATTATATCAATAGTAGATATGACTTGTATTAATTTTTACTTCTCGAAGGTATTTTGGATGAGAATTGGATGATTTATGAAATCTAAGGTTTCATGTTCATTTTATGTATTAGAATGGAGTTATTTGAGGTGCATATATGTAATATTGGTGGTTGCGTGTTGGTTTTAACTAATTCTTATGCATGTTTGAGTCAAAATCGTGATTTTGTTAATTGCATAAATTGTCATCACACCTAATGTGATGCAAGTTAGAGACTCTTTGCCTCACTAACGCTGGGCATGTGATTCATAATGTTAGGCATGAGTCGGTTAAGAGCTCCTTAACTTGGTCATGTTGGGTGTGGAATGAGAGGTGTCATACATGATTGCTTGAGGAACTCTTTGACTTCGTGATGCTGAACAAGGGTTGTGTAATGTTGAGTGTGATCAAGTCAATGGTTTTTTACCTAGACAATGTCAAATGCGAGTTTTGTGGCACTAGACATAGGTTAAGTAGAGACTTTCTACCTGAGCATCGCCAGACATGGGTTTTATAATGTTGAACGTGTTGTACACATAGACTCTATCTCATTCTCACTAAACACTTGTAGTTTAGTGTCAGGTGTGAGTGAGTCAGAGACTCTCTATCTCACTAGTGCTAGATGTTGGATAAATGACGTTGAGCGTGATTATGTCGAAGAAAATCTTATAATTTTAGTTGATTAAGGTTGTGTTTGGATTGAATGATAGATTTGGGAGAGTGGAAAAGGAAAGATTTGAAGAGAAAGAGAGTGAAAAGTGAGGTTGTTTGGATTAAGGGAAAAATAGTGGAAAGTGAGTGGAAAGTTTGTGAGAATTTGTGTACAAATTGATTGATGTGATAGATAAAAATTAAAAATTTAATAGATGAATATGTAATTTACACTTTTACCCTTGGATTAAAAATGAGTAGAATATTATTTATTGTAAATAATAATAATTACAATAAAATTATATTAATAGGTATAATTTATTAAAAAATAATAAATAATGATAAGAATAATAATAAATATTAGAAAAATAATAAGAATCATAATAAATAATAATGATACTAATTATAATAAATAATAATAATATTAATAATAATGAAAATAATAATATTTATAATAATAAATAATAATAACAAAATATATTATGATAATTATATTTTCTAACATTATTTTATTAATGTTTATGAAAATGTTAATGTTATTATTTTAATTTTATAAACATGTATTACTTTATTTTTTTTTATATTTTCACTTTTTGATGTCAATATTTAAATAATAGATTTTTTTAATATAAAAAAATGTACAATAAATTTTTTGAAAGTTAATTAATAAATTAAAAAAATTGATCAATCATTGATATAAATTAGAATGAAATGAAGATACATTTGTTAATTGTACAAGTTAATTTTTACCAATTAAAAAATTAAGAAATTTTTAACATTACAAAGTAGATGGGTAATAACATATTTGTAAAATAGAACAAAAAATACAATTCAGTCATCAATTAAGTAAAAAATAATTAAATATGATATAAAATAATAGAAATGAAAAATGTTGCAACTAAATAAAACATATTTAAATTACAATAATAAAAAAAAAATAAGATAACATATTTTTGCATTTTTATCCATAACAGCCAATTTGGAACGGCCCGTTCTGGGCTACTAACTACGTTACACGACTGGAAGCAAAATTATGCCACCATAATCGATTATGTATGACACATAATCGATTATGGGCTGGCATAATCGATTATGCCAGCCCATAATCGATTATGTGCCATGCATAATCGATTATGTTGCTGGGGTATTATCGGGTTTTCTCATTTCTTACGTGACTTTCATCCCTTTTCTTCACAACTTCGCGAAGAGCGGCCACGCGGGTTCTCCTGCTTTTCTTCGTTTTTCTTTCGGTGCAAATCAGCGGAAACAAAAGTAAAGTTTCTTCACCTTTTGTTCGTTGTGAACAGTAAATCACTTGAAACAAACAGGGGCTAAGTGATGAAAATATGTTGAGTAGGATAGTTGTTCACATGACACATCATGATGATTTAATCTAGTTCATTATGTATTGATCTATGATGATATATGATGATGTTTTAAGTTAATAAAATTGAAAGTTATTATATTCTTCTATTAAGTTGAAAGTTGATTATTAGTTAAAGTTGTATAAAGTAAAATCATACATATTAAATTGTATATTGTTTAATGAAGTTATGTTGGGAATGTTTGGTGTATGTAATTATGTTGTGTTGTTGACTTATAATTAGAAGAGATATTTTTATTTTAAAAAATAAATATGTTGTGATGTTTTAAGAAGTCAATTATTAAAAAATCATTTTAAATATAAAGTTTAATCTTTAGTTTAAATTTAACTTAATTAGTTAATAAATTAAATTTAACAAATTAATTATCAAAACATATTCAACAAATCAAGTTGGTGTTAGTTTGGTTCACATCTCCCATTCTTACAAGTTACAACACAAAAATCCCATCGTTTCAACACACACATTACGTTCAGAGCTTCAGAACCCTCGACACTAGTTACCTACCTACCGAACCGACCACAAAGAAACAACCCTCTATAAATTCCTCCAAACCTCGTACCCCTCTAACAAAATCGCCCAAAACCAAAACCAAAACCAAAACCAAAACCCTCCCTGCAACTTCCCAACACAACATAGCTTGATGAATGTTTATCACACGTGACGTGTCACCCCCCTATTGGCACATCACGTGAAGCACCCCTCCCCCAAGTAAAAACCCAATCCACATGACCCAACCCATCCCACACCATATAACATGACAAACACAACAATGTCACACTCCCAATAGCAATCGATTACTGCACCACTCTCCACTCTCCAACTCTCCTCACACCAACCGCCACTAATAGAAAGCCGCAATGAACAAAGGCGTAACCCAAGAACCCACCTTGCTCCTCGATTCTCCCTTCCTCACCTTCCCCTCCGACAACGCCACCGTCCTCTCCAATTTCCTCCACTTCAACTCGCGCCGCGGAGCAAAACGCTGCGTTTCGCTCGGCCTCAGGGTGGGGGAGGCCGCTGTCAGGTTCAGGAACGTTCTCAACGACTTTAACAGAGCCGTTAGGCTCCACTGCGAGAAGATCCCAATTGGGTTCGCATCGCTGCGCGTTGCGGACGGTGACGGTAACGGTAACGGTAACGGTGAGGGGGTTGGTAACGGGGTTATAGTGGACGAGTGTGGCGTGCCGGAGGACGAGGGGTTTCGCGGGAACGGCGTGGAGGGTGGGAGGCCTAAGAAAGTTTTGATTTTGATGAGTGACACTGGTGGGGGGCATCGGGCTTCAGCTGAAGCGATTAAAGCTGCTTTTTACCAAGAATTTGGAGATCATTACCAGGTTTCTTTTGTTTTGTTTAACGTTAATGGAAGAAGGTTTTTTGTTTGTGAAAGAAACTGTTGAGGGTTGCTTGTTCAACACTTGCAGCTTAGTTCACTTTAGTTTCTATAATTGTAGGTGTGGTGAGTTGGGTAGTTTTCATGTTGTGCTTCAATTGAAATTAGGTTTGTTGACCTCTCATGTCGACTTTTGTTGTGCGAATTTCTATTGTGAAACTCTAATTTTAATTGTAGAATGGCATTGAAGACATTTTAAGGTATGATAAAACTTATATACTGTATTATAGAAACCGTTGGTGTTGTTTTTCATTCAGAATTGGAATTTTACTTCGGTAATTCTAATGAGAGAACAGTACCCACAGTACATGTATGTGATCCTGTGTCGAAGTTTTTGCCCCTAAGGTATTTGACCTATGTTTGGTTTAAGCACTTGTTCAAAAAGTTATATCACGTGAGTTTTTGTACGTGTTATTTTACACACGATTGGTCATGCATCAGGAGGAATATTTGATGTAGTTTTTCGCAACGGAAGCTACCACTTGTAGCGTTTGCTTCTTTTACCTGTGTGGTGTGTTTTTTTCTTTTTTCTCCTTTCGTAAGTCCAAATAAGTTGTCTAGAAAACCTTCCAAGCGCCACTTCTTGCAAGTTTATGATGATAATTTTAGGACAGGGTTGGTTATTAACTTGTTTAGGCTGATGGGAAGTTATAGGGAATCAAATGAATGGTTTTATGTGGATTTTGGTCATAGGGCAGTCCCATAGTCTGTGTGTTTTTTGTTAAGTTGTGTTCTCAGTTTGGAGTTCCTGGTGCAGGTTTTTGTTACTGATTTGTGGTCTGATCACACGCCTTGGCCGTTTAATCAACTCCCCAGGAGCTATAGCTTTTTGGTCAAACATGGGCCATTGTGGAAGATGACCTACTATGGGACTGCCCCACGTGTAGTGCATCAGTCTAATTTTGCTGCAACTGGAACTTTCATAGCTCGGTTAGGATTTGATTGCCTTCACTTAACAATTTGTACTCTTTTTTATTTGACAAATTAAATTGAAGAGAAAAAAATAAATGTGTTGATATATGCCTTTGCATATAGCTGTTAGGTATGGAAAATGATACACAAGTAATAGTCCAGGCCCCTGGCATATACTGCTATGGCATTCTCCCTGTCTTTTTTGGTGGAAGTTTTCTTTTGAGTTTTGACCAATAAAGATATAGGTTATATCGGAATAGTTTAATTATTTTTTTGGCTTGGATTTCTACGAGTAGGGATAAATTGTTTGCTTATATTTGACATGTATTTCTGTTTCTATATATAGCTAATTTGGGTTAAAGCCGATTTTTAAACTACTTGATTTCTTAAAATACCAAGGATAGCATGCTAATTTGACAGTATGTCAGTTTGATCCTAATTTAATATATATGCTTTACAAATGTAAAATGCTTGATATTATGGACCAATTGCCCTACTATTGTACCGTGCAATGTTTATTGTGCATTGCCTTAATATTAGACACAAGTTGTAGATTTTTTATGCATTCCTTGTTTTAGAATCTATTTTTGTGTGCATATCTATCTCTTCTCGGATGCAGTATAACATCACATGTCAAAGTTATAATATCTTCTCTTTTTACAGTGAAGTTGCTAAAGGCCTAATGAAGTATCAGCCAGATATAATAATCAGTGTGCATCCACTGATGCAACACGTTCCACTTCGAATTTTGAGGTCAAAGGGTCTTTTAAAAAAGATTGTTTTTACTACTGTAGTCACAGATTTAAGCACGTGCCATCCAACATGGTTAGTTCTGTTTTCTTATCATTTCCTTTTCAAAAATCATACAAATTGTCTTATTTTGACATCTTATTTCTTTGTTTTCTTTAGGTTTCATAAGCTTGTAACCAGATGTTATTGTCCTACAACAGATGTTGCACAAAGAGCATTGAAAGCTGGATTGCAACAATCTCAAATAAAGATTTTTGGTCTACCAGTCCGGCCTTCCTTTGTTAAGCCTGTCCGACCAAAGGTATTTCATATTCTTATAGCTAGCCATTACTTGAATTATTATTGCCAAATTTACTTACAATTTTGGAATCAGTATACAACATGCTGTGCTATGTATATTATGCTCGAATGAATGTCACTGTATTTTTTGAAATGGTGTGACAAGATAATAGGAATTATCCAGTCTCAACCAGGAATAGTAATTTATGCTAGGCTTTTCAATTTATTGCGAGTAATTTATGATCATATCCATATCACCAGTGCTCACTTATGCTAATGGTTGCCTTTAAACTATAACTTCTTCCCTTGTCAGCATCTAAATTAGTGAAAGATAGATAGTGATTTGTTTAAGCAATAATCAATTATTAAATAGTATAATACTAAAATGAACTGCTTTGGTGTTTTTGGGTTCTGATTCTAGGACTACAGGCTGCAATCGATATCAGTTACTTGAAACTTAATGGTGCATATGCAGACATGTATGTCATTTCACTTTATTTGTATAAACTTTGATCTGAGCTGTAGTTTCACTGGTATTCCCTTTTATCAAACCTACTGTTCAATAAACTATGTTCAAATGGTCTCTGGTTTAAGTGAATTACATGTGAATGTCAATGGAAAGACTTTTTGTTTGGGAAATTAGACTTGCATCCTACTTGACTAACTATTTTTTGTATTCTGATCACATTATTTATTCAAGAAATTACAATTTACTCCCCTACTTTTATTTGAACTCTACACAGCCTTCCTATAAAATAACAAAGCGTGACTGGTGGGTGTAATTTATCGAAATAGAAGGCTATTGGTGTAATAACTAATAAGTGCAAAACAAAGATCGTTGGGGCAATTAACCCTTTAAAATTGAAGTCACATGAAAAGAAACTCGCTGTTAAATTTTTTCCTTTCAATTTTTTTATTTTGCATCACATATAATATGGACTTTCTAATTTATGCCTTAGGATGAACTAAGGCGAGAGTTAGGGATGGATGAGGATCTTCCTGCTGTACTATTGATGGGGGGAGGTGAAGGTATGGGCCCAATTGAAGCAACTGCCAGGGCACTTGGAGATTTATTACACGATGAGAATGTTGGGGGCCCTGTAGGTCAGATCCTTGTGATCTGTGGTCGTAATAAGAAACTTGCTAACAAACTGAATTCTATTAATTGGAAGGTTCCTGTTCAGGTATAAATATTTCCAGAATCTTGTTAATGTATTTTTAGTAAGCTATAAATTACGATGTTTGTCAGTGTTATGACACTTTCTCTCCCTTTGTTGGTGTTTGTTCTTGCATGTGATTAAATTTTAAATTTGTCAGCCTTCCATGGTGATCAACTTTGGCTAGTATATGGACGTTCTCTTACACGATGAACTAGGTATCTAGCCTTAGGACTATATTTCTCATATGCATTGTTTTTAAAACAGACTCGTCATGGAACTAGTAAAGGTTCTGGTTTACATTTAATTGGTTCAACCCTGATTGAACCAGGGTTAAACTGGTAATATATTGCATATGAACCATTGGTTGAGGAGCAGGATTAAAATTTTAGTTCTTGTGAATTGGTTAAAAGGGTCTTGTTATACAGGAACAGAGTGGCATTAATCTCTCTTTTTCATGATATAAATTAGAAAAATTCAGGTGTTGAACTTCCATATTAAGTTGTGTCACTTCAATTCCTTGACGAGAATAGCAATTCTTAATTCAGCATCCTATGTATCTCCATGGTAGCCTAGCCCCTGAATTATTTTATTTTTACCCATATTTAGGTCAAGGGATTTGTTACCAAAATGGAGGAATGCATGGGAGCTTGTGATTGCATCATTACAAAGGTTTGTTCCCACAGTCTTTACTAAGTTCTTTGTACCGCATTATGACAGCAGTTGACAGGTTTTTTCCTTTTTGTAGGCGGGCCCTGGGACAATAGCAGAGGCCATGATCCGAGGCCTTCCTATTATTCTGAATGATTACATTGCTGGACAGGTATATTTTGGTTATGGCTCTAATTCCTCAATCTGGTGATTTTTTCAAAAAATTCAGCTGATTCAATTGTGTCCAATGTCTATGGAGTAAATTTGAGGCTGGCTTCTGGAATCAAAGATATAACTTATTAAGATTATACGTTAAAATTCTCCGCCAATATACAAGTGGATGAATGTTTGTAAATTCCCTTTTATTTGCAAGTTTAGGAAAGTAGGAGTCTGGTTGGATATAAATTTAAAAGTTCTTTTGAAAACTTCTTCACTAGAAAATATTCTTTATTTTTAATAGAAAGCGTTTAAAAATACTTTTAAGTTCTATACAAACAAACTTTAAGAATAAATTATATACTGATGTAGAATCTATTTCTTGCTTTGAATGTTATTGACATTTAGCCCCACCTTCCCTTACGTGATTACAAAATGATGTACTTATATCAGTTTCTTTCATTTCAGGAAGCTGGTAATGTCCCCTATGTAGTTGAAAATGGGTGTGGGAAGTTCTCTAAATCGCCTAAGGAGATAGCAAAAATTGTTGCCGATTGGTTTGGACCAAAAGCTTACGAACTACAACAAATGTCACAAAATGCATTGAGGCTAGCAAGGCCAGATGCCGTGTTCAAGATTGTTCATGACCTCCACGAGCTAGTTAGACAAAGAAGCTTCCTACCAGAGTATTCTTGTACAGCTTAATAACTGACACTGAGGGTATTTTTTGAACCACCATTCTGAGGAAAATGTACAAGGCAGCGATGATGTATCACTAGAAAAAAATCTTGTATTTTCTCTCATCATTATTTTTCAGATGCTCATTTGAAAATTTTATATTAATTTAGTTTTGAATGTTTCTTGCTTATCAATTACGTTCATGTTAGATAAACATCACTGTTTTAGTAATTGCATGGGTCGAGGTTGAAACCTTTGCAGAACCTTAGTCTATTAATTTAATAATAATATGGTACCTGGGCAAAAACTTGTCTAAACAGAACAATCACATTATCACATTATACATTTACATGCTCGATGGTAATTATAAATATTTTGTATGTAGATATATTTTCATATTTGCCCTCCCATGCTTGTGTAGAATGATCGGTTTATTTATTTGCTTTCATGACCCAAAATTTGCCGCTTTGTCATACTCATACGTGTTTGTTTGAAACGCATATAAAAATTTCATCAATAAATAAAGGGTATGCTATCGGTGATGTACTTTACCTCCATTATGATACCCAAAAAGAAAGAAGAATCTGCTTTTGTTATGTACGTCGCAATATACCTGAGATTCATATTCCCTTGTACGTGACAAAATTTAATGCTTGCTGAGATCAAGAATGGAAAACATGACGATTTCATTTCATCCATCTATGCATGTGTAGAATGAATGATATGTGCATAAATGAATCTTCTCAATGTTCCTTGACACATGCCGTGAGTCATATACACATGTTTATGCCTCTTATTGCCACGACAGCTTAGAACTAAAGTTTCTACAAAAATGCGACGCCACCTGTTACTCAACGAGACTTAATTTAATATAATGCCCAACACAACTTAGAACGTGAATTGGTCTAGCTTTTGGTTTTTCAGATAAGGAACTTGTATTTTCTCGCGTGACCCTATAATACGAAAAATTATCGTATGATGTGGAATCACCACATATCTATATATTTAGTTTCTAATCAGATTTGTTCTTTAACCATTATGAGTCATATTCAATAGAATTTGATCATTTTTTTTATGTATTTTTTGTTTAATCTTTATGTGAAACAGAGATTTTAAATTTATAATAAAATTTATTGTGTTACAATGAAACTGATGCATACATAATATGTTAAGTGACCCTTTAATATATTTAAGATATACTTTAATATTATCCGAGTTTTTGACTTAACTCATTTTTTTTATCCATAGAATTATTTAACTCATGTTTATAAAATCGATTTGTAAGCAAGTAATGTTTTAATATTTTTTTTATTATTTTACTATTTTAAACCTTATTTTTAGTATGCAAAAATTAGATTTTTTCTAATTAACTTTTGTACCTGTCTGAAGGGCACACTAGTAATCTTCTCGTATTTGGTGGGCTGAACGAGAGTTCCGATCGAATATTCCGGTGAGAGGGGAGGTACCTGCAAAAGGCACTCCGACACTCAAGTCAGGACAAAGCACAAGAATCGATAGTAATTAATGAACAGTGACGTTACCTTGTGACATGAGCTATTTATACTGACTTTTATGGGCCCGGATTCCCATGGGCCCTGCACAAGATTACCATATTAGGTAATACGCCTCTAATCGGCTTATTAGTGTGATTAACTCTTAACCCTTGATTAAGGATAATTTTTGTCTCTTGATTAATGATAGTTCACATTCACTAGGTATTCAATGGCCGATCAGCCGTCAACAATCTGGTTCGGCCCTTTGGGTGCCGATTGGGTGTCGGCAACCTGGTTCGGCCTTTCAGGTGCCGATCGGGTATCGGTCAAATGGTGGCCAAAAGGCCTTGCCAGTACACTTGGCCCCCAGCCTTGGGGAAGGTGTACCTTCTTCAAGGGTATAGCAGTTACAATGTAGGGGAAGTGGAAAGGTTGGGGTCATTTCTGCCGTTGGATCGTGTAGATTCATTGGTTTAGGTTTTTAAAGATTTAATTTTTCCCGCCATTTTCCATGGCTATATATAGCATTGCGTGGTAGGGCCTCTCACGCGTATCGCTTTCAGCCGAATAACATCATTTGGGCAAATCCGATACAACATCACACGCCGAGCGATCGTTTCAATCTCAACTTCCTGGTAAGTTTTATTGGATGGCTACTGCTTCCGAGAGCTCTTCGGCGAGTGGGGTTCGGTCATCATCGTCCGAGGGGTCGTTGTCTAGGGAGACGTGTCGCCGCGGGGACAGGTCTAGCGAGGATGTGAGTACTTCCGAAGAGGCCTCAACCAGTGGTAGCGAGGAGGCGCCGATCCGCGTGAAACGTGTTTCCAATCGGCAAAAGTATGGGCCTTCCGAGGTACCTGGGTACGAGTGGGTCAATGGAGAAGTTACTTCCTACTATTCTCGTTATCAAGATACCACGATGATAACCAATTTATTGGGGTACACCAAGTGTTTGTATTTCGATGCTGGCGAGAATCCGTATCCGATTGGTGTGCGTGCTTGCCGAAACAACGCATTTCCCGATCCAGATACGGTGTGCTTGGACAAGCAAGCCGATAGTATGGCCTCGTTTTATATTTATGATTGCCTTCTGCGAGATCTTAAGGTAAAACTACTATTCGATGAGTTCATGATGGGAGTGCTCAAGGTTTTGAACGTTGCGCCGACACAACTGCATCCGAACAGCTGGGCCCAACTTCAAGGTTTCAAGCATCTGTGCCTATGTGTTAACATTAGGCCGTCACCCCTACTTTTTCTTTCTTTCTATTCCTCCCGCCCTTCGGATTTGGCCAAATGGGTGTCTCTTAGCCGAGTGGGCTCTCGGCAACTATTAGATAGCTTTACGTCCTCGTATAAGAATTTTAAAGCGGGATTTTTTCGAGTGACCATTCGTCCGAACGGGAGGCGTTTATTCTTTGGAGCCGTCGACAAGAATTTTTTTCCGTTGTTCTGGACCCGTGCCCCTTGGCCGTATGATGTAGTGTCGAATGAGATGCTTACAGCCGAAGAGCAAAGGGATTTGCAATTTTTACTTCAACTTCCTAGGCGCTTGCCAACTAAGTCTTTAATAAACGTGGTCAAATCTTCCCGATGGGAGAACGATTTGATAGGTATGTAACATTCTTGTTTCGGCCTTTAAGTTAATTCCTATTGATGTTTACTTGGTTATTGGTGCAGGAATCATGGTGACGAGTGGTGCCGATGAGTTCAACATCCGCAATCTTTTGGCTGGTCGAATTCAACAAGCTAAAGCCTCGGGGTTGTGGGCAGTTCGGCGCCTGCCCAAACGCCTCGTCCAACACAAGATGATCGAAGTCCGCCTACGCCGGAACGAAAATTCCGAAAGGTGAAGAAGGGGAAAGAGGTTACTCGGGAGGGGCCGAAACGAAAAAGTAATGAGGAGAGGCCGGAAAAAACCAAGAGATCCAAGAATTCGGTGTCCTCCCCGGGTGGGACAATTATTTGTGTGCCCCCCATGCTGATGTCGAGGGCCTTTCTAAGTGAAGAAGTCACTGCCGAATCAGTGGTTCGGTCAAAACAGTCTCGGATCATGGTCGCGAGTTCTTAGGCCAGTTGGATACCGTGGCGAAATGGAAATATTTTTGCGAGGTGCAGTCTCGGTCGTTGGCACTCACGCACCACCTCGCTATGGAGCCAATCGGCGAGTTGGTTCAACTGAGGCAAAGGGTTGAGGACGCCGATAAGGCCACAGCCGAGGCCATGGCGGCATCCAAGGAAGCATTAGCGAAAAGTCGTCAACTTGCGGCTGAACTTGATGTGCAGCGGCGCAACAATGATACTCTTCGGTTGGACATGCAAAAAGCCGCGAACGATGAAAAACGCCAACTGGAGGAAGCTAAGGCGGAACTGGAGCGAGTAAAAGAGCAAGCCAAGGAGCGTATCGTTGCTCAGCATGAAGCTGGGTTTCGCCATGCTCTTCGACAAGCACAATACTTCGATCATTTTAGGGAGGGATTTGAGTTTGACATTTTGAAAGATTTCTATCAAGGGTCTTTGATGTCTTTCCAAGATATGCCCGAGGGGGCCATCCCTGACAATGACGCGCCGAATGATGACCGCGAGGATGAAGAGACCCTTGATGCTTCGGATGATGAGGCTGAAACCCAACAGGAAGAGCCGAACCAAGATCAAGAGGGAGAGCCCGAGGTGCAAGATGACGCGGGCAACAACGCCGAAGAGTGATTATGTTGTATGGCAGGCCGATAGAGCCTTTTTAATTTGATTTTAATGTAGGTTGATTGTAGTGTTGGCCGATAGAGCCTTTTAACGTTTGTTAATGACAAGTACTCGTTTTTTGAAGAAACTCATTATTGGATTGTGTAACTTGCCCTTTTATTTTGATTGTTTTTTGAGTCAAAATCGAATGGGGTCATTCGGACTTGATGCTTGTTGAGTCAAAACCGAATGTGGTCATTCGGAAATGATGCTGTGTCAAAATCGAATGGGGTCATTCGGACTTGATGCTTTTTGAGTTTACTCTAAATTCATTATACAATGATCTACAAAAAGGAAACAAAGTGCCTCACAAATAGAAATGCAAAATAAACCTATACAAGTAACTACTATATTTACAAACATAGGGATGTAGACACCCAATTTCGTCCGGGGGCATACAAACAAGGAAATGGACTTCCATTATCTAAGAAAAGGAGCTCCCAAGTATAGAAACAACAGGACATGATATCAGAAGACCTGGAGCCCAAACAAGCTGGTTTTAGTAGCCCAGAACGGGCTGTTCCAAAACTGGAACGTGCCGTTCCGAACTAGGAACATGCTGTTCCTAAATTGGAATGAGCCATTCCCAACTCGAAACGGGTTGTTCCTAAATCAGAACGGGCCGTTCCAAGTTACTAAAAAAGCCTAAAACCCTAGTTTGGAACATGCCGTTCCAACACAGGATGTAGGAAAGGCTTGTGGAGCAAGCTTCTAAATTAGAAGCTTGGAAAGCAAGCTAAGTTAGAAGCTTGTAACACAAGCTTCCAAAGTGTGCCATGCAAACTAAGGAATTCGGCCAAAAGAGACTTGTGTAGCAAGCTAAGCTAACCATGGTTCAAGAGAACCATGGTTGGCTTAACTAGGGTGTCCACCATGGTTTGGAAGGCTTGTTGAGCAAGCTTCTAACTTAGAAGCTTGGAAAGCAAGCTAAGTTAGAAGCTTGTAGCACAAGCTTCCCAAATAGGTCATGTAAGCTTAGTAATCCGGCCAAGAGAAGGGATGGGCGGCCAAGGTGCTTGGTTCCATAATTTTCCAATTCTAAAAAGTTGGAATTGGTTTAGTTAGGTTCACCAAATAATGGTGATACCTAGCTAAATAAATTCCATAAAAAATATGGAACAAAATAAACCTAATATGTAAAATTTGGCCTAGGCCCAACTCTGGCCCAATTACTAGTGGCACTCACATTCCTTATTATATGTCACCTCACTTTCACCACTGAAAATACAAAAATGAATGACCTCTAATACAAGGTCAAATGGAGCAAAAGTCTCTAAGTAGCCTACTCTAAATTCATTATACAATGATCTACAAAAAGGAAACAAAGTGCCTCACAAATAGAAATGCAAAATAAACCTATACAAGTAACTACTATATTTACAAACATAGGGATGTAGACACCCAATTTCGTCCGGGGGCATACAAACAAGGAAATGGACTTCCATTATCTAAGAAAAGGAGCTCCCAAGTATAGAAACAACAGGACATGATATCAGAAGACCTGGAGCCCAAACAAGCTGGTTTTAGTAGCCCAGAACGGGCTGTTCCAAAACTGGAACGTGCCGTTCCGAACTAGGAACATGCTGTTCCTAAATTGGAATGAGCCATTCCCAACTCGAAACGGGTTGTTCCTAAATCAGAACGGGCCGTTCCAAGTTACTAAAAAAGCCTAAAACCCTAGTTTGGAACATGCCGTTCCAACACAGGATGTTACGGGTAAAATTCGAACCTAGAACGAGTCGTTCCAATTCTGGAACATTCTGTTCCAGGTCAAAATGTAAACGGCGGAAGGAAGGTTCCCCTACTTCCATCGGAATCATGGCCTCAGTACCGTATGTCAATCGAAACGGTGTTTCCTTTGTTGTGGATTGAGGTGTACATCTATAAGCCCACAAAACTTCTACTAGTTCTTCGGCCCAGGCGCCCTTGGAATCTCCCAAGCGCTTTTTTAACTCTGTTAAGATGACTTTATTTGCCGCCTCGGCTTGTCCGTTCGATTGAGGATGTTCAACCGATGTGAATCGATGCCGTATGCCTAAGTCTTGGATGAACTTGTTCAACTTTTGATCTGTGAATTGGAGACCATTGTCGGTTACAATGGCATATGGTATACCGAAGCGCGTGACAATGTTCTTCCACAAAAACTTCTGCACCATGCCAGCTGTGATCATTGCTAACGGTTCGGCCTCGATCCACTTTGTAAAGTAGTCTATGGCAACCAACAAAAATTTGCATTGGCCCTTGGCTATAGGGAACGGTCCGAGCAAGTCCATCCCCCATAGTGCAAACGGCCAAGGTGAGCTGATGCTATGCAGCTGTTCTGCCGAGGCATGGATTAGGTTGCCATGTTTTTGACATTGAATGCATCGCTTAACAAATTGTGCACAATCACTCTTGAGAGTTGGCCAATAATAACCTGCCCTTAATACTTTTACCGCAAGAGTTCGTCCGCCCGAATGTGACCCACAAATGCCTTGGTGAATTTCTCTCATCACATAATTGGCCTGCGCCGAGTCTAGGCATTTCAGCAATGGGGTTGAGAAACCCCTTCTATACAATTCGCCCCCGATGACAAAGTATCTAGCAGCTTGGGCTCGTAAATTTTTGGCAGACGAGGGCTCGGCCGGTTCTTTGCCATGAAGAATGAATTCAAGAAGTTCCGTTATCCACGCTGCATTGGATGCCACCGAACTTGATTCTTCCACTGCCAAGTTTTCAACTGTAGCTATGCTCGGGGTAGGTAACTCAAAATGTAGAGTGGTTCTGAGCTGGCCTGGTTTCCGAGCACTGCTTGCCAATAGGGCTAGTTGGTCGACTCGTTCATTGTTTTCTCTCGGTGTGTGTCGTACTTGAACTTCTTCGAAGTTGGAGCACATGTTATGGAAGAGGTGATAGTAACGTAGCAAATTTGGATCCTTCACCTGGAAATGATTATTGACTTGTTCCGATACGATCTGGGAGTCTGTCCAACAAATTAATCTTCGGACCCCAATGTCACCTGCCAGTCTTAGGCCCGCTACGAGTGCCTCGTACTCGGCCTGGTTGTTAGAGGCTCGAAATCCAAAATGCATGGATTGTTCAAGGACTACCCCCACCGGCCCTTCGAGTATTATTCCTGCCCCGCTGCCTGTATTGTTTGAAGAGCCGTCCACATGCATTGTCCATTGGTCGCTCTGAAAGTGACCGTTGGGTTGTAGCTCATTGACGAATTCAGCCCAGTGTTGCGACTTAATCGGCCCGCGCGGTTCGAATGATATGTCGAATTCTGAGAGCTCAATGGACCATGCCATCATTCGTCCCGCCAGTTCGGGTTTCCGCAGGACTTTAGCAATGGGACAATCCGTCCGAACTACAATCCTGTGCCCCTGGAAGTATTGCCGAAGTCTTCGAGCTGTATGAACAAGTCCGAGTGCTACTTTTTCCAGCAACTGATATCTAGTTTCCGATTCTTGCAGCATGCGACTAATGAAATAGATAGGTACTTGTGTGTCCCTCTCTTGGACCAAGACCGAACTGATGGCCTCATTTGAAACGCACATGTATATTATGATGGCCGATAAGGGATCGGGTTTTGAGAGGATTGGAGGCGTTCCGAGACGCAACTTTAATGTTTGAAAAGCCGTTTCACACTCTTCGGCCCATGCAAATTTGTTAGTTTTTCTCAACAACCCCAATATTGGTTTGGCCACCTCTGTGAGGCATGGAAGAAACCTTGATAATGCAGTGAGACGGCCAGCCAGTCGTTGCACTTCTTTAACATTATGGGGACTTCTCATGTCGATTATTGCTCGGCATTTGTCAGGGTTGGCTTCAATACCCCTAGTCGAAAGCATGAAGCCGAGAAACTTGCCGCTTGCTACCCCGAAGACACACTTTTCCGGATTGAGCC